GATAGAGCGAATATATATTTTGAGCAATTGAAAATGGACAGAATACATATGCGGGCGTAATTTCCTGAAATTCCACTGAATGTTGAAAATGAGTTGATAAAATTTTCTGTAATTCAACTTGAAAAAGTCAACTTTTTGAGAATGTGCCATAACGAAAGAAGGAGGTAATATTTTAATAGTAAAGAAAAATGGTCCATGAGGGTATGGCGGGCAATAGAAAGGGCCGCGGCCATAGCGATGGCATAGCGAACTAGCGCGGTATTCAGGCCGCAGCAAGGCCGTCCGTACGGTCGTCCCCTGAGTAAAAGTGCAGTAAATGAAATGTAGGTTGTTACATGGCTCGAGGCGAGCCTCCTCACTATCCTCACTTGTTGTACAGTATTATTATATCGGTGCCGAGAGCATTATGCTCAAGGAGGCCCGCCATATGCCGCCCTCCGTACATCGCAGTGACCCCACACTTTGAGGAGACGATCATTTGCTCATACCCGTTCAAAAAAATAATATTCATTTTCCTCAAATATTTAATTACTTAAGACAAGCCCTTCAGACCATCACCACTCAACCTCCCCTCTCGCAGCTCGCCTAATTTCCGCAAATTCTTCATTACGTCTCAGCCATTGCAATTTTCGTGTTAATTATGAGTTTTAATTCATTCACTGGATAATTATTAATAATTGAAAATTTTTTTCTCTCAATTGAGTGGGAGAATTTCTACTGTTAGTTTTCATTTGACTTTTTTGTCCACGAAATGTGAAAAAAATTACTAGCGGCAAATTAAGTAATGAGAAATTTGTTGAAAAATGATTAAAAAGAGAATTTTACTGGCCGACTGTGCGAATTTATTTGCTGGCGCACTCCAATTTTCGTCGCATTTTCGGGGGATAATGAAGTGAGGAATTTTATGGAGTGAGGTACTCATTACGGGGCCCCATGGGAATCCATGGCGTTGTTTAAGTGGATTGTGTTAATTAAAGCCATGCTATATATATGGTGCGTATGGTTTTGATATCTATATTTCATGAGAATAGAATGAGTGCGTGGAGTTCCACGATCGGGTCCTTGAACTCGATTCGTTCACTCGATCTGGTATTCAATCCATTGAACATTCTGAAACCTCAGATTCAATGATGCTGAGGGTGTGTTGCGGATACGCAACATGCGTCAACAAAAAATAGAAGTACTAATAAAAAGTTCATTAAATCACATAACAATTCACTTTTTTTGCGGAATGAAAACGTTCGCTGTCACCGATTTATTTCATCAAGTTATTACATATTCATAATAAATTCATATTATCAATGATAAAATTAATATAGTAAATTTTGCACTATATTAAAAGTAATTCAAATAAAATACTCAATGCATCAAATTTCAAGTGGTTTATATGGAAAATCTATAATTGAATAACAGATTCCTTTGAGTTTTGCAAGAATTTCCCTTGAATATTGAAATGAACTTTACAAATTATCTTTATAAATCCAAGAAAATAAATTGAAAGGCCTTTCCGATGGAATTTCCCGAAATAAAAATAGCCCCCCATAGTCAATTTCGCTAATTTCTACCCGAAGACACGGAATCGAATAAATATGTAATGGTAAATAGCGATTAATTTGAATTTCGCCTGGGTGATTGAAAAAGTATCAGATGTAAACAAACGATTTCTCTATTCTTACCTACTGGGGACGGAGGCAGATAGAAATGCAAATTGAAATAGTAGTAAAGAAGGTAAAGGAATAATTGATCAAGTAAGAGAGTGTTGTCAGTATTCGACGACAAGTATCCAAGGAAATGACACAGCTGGAGATGCTTTTACCCTGTCAGGGGAAAGTCTCGTTACTTGGTTTTATCTCGTGGACGTGCGTGTAACGAAAAACGTGCGCAGGATTCACTTGCAATGAATCTCATGTAACTTTTCCTCCTTTTCTCATTTCGTAACGATTGTTTTCCTGATAAATTATTGATCTCCATTTCCTCATTCTGCTGGTGAATGGGAATGAGGAAAGAGTGGAATTGAAAAAAAAAGGAGAGAGAGAGAGAGAGGAAAAAACGTGACACAGACCTCGAAATGGCAGCCGGATGCGTTGAAATGACATGCGGGCAATCGTATTGCTAACGAGTGGCGCGCCTTAAACGTCAATAAAAAAAAAACATCTTAATGGTTTTTGCATACATGAAACATACCAGAGAGCCCCAGACGTCCAGACGAAGACTGTTAAAATTACCGAGTCGTTCAATTTCTCATCCCTCATGGTAACTCGTAATTATATCGGTGGAATTTACTTCTTGCTTTAATTATCCTCATATGCATATTCTACTCTGTTATTTGTGCCTCTTGCGCAAGTCTCTGCACTCCTCAAACCAAGGGAGGAAAAAAATATTCAGGAATTCCAGCTCATTTGGGTGAAAGTTTTGAGGAATAAGCACCAATTGATTCCCAGGATATTCCATTCCTTCAGAGAACACAATCATTTCGTCTCTTGTTACGTATTACATACAATTATTCGCATTTCAATAACTATACATGAGACGCTGTGATGGTGTTAAAATTATTTTTTTTATTTTTCAAGTTGAACTCTAGAAATGAAATTCCATTGAATTGCTGAGTGAATTGAGAGTCATGATTCTGCACGCTCCATGGATCTCCTTTGTCTCTAATATTCCATCTAGCCTCACCCACTTATCGGTTTTTCTCATTTGTGCGCACCTTTGCACCTCAGCTTTGACTTGAACAACAAACAGTAAACTATCCTTGGGGCCTTGTGGCCATTCGTGAAAGGGCCCTACCACCCCCTCCCTCAATCTGCGTGACTGCGTTTTATACCTCAAATGCCATTTATTCGCGCCCATTACAAAGACCCCGCGAAAATACCTTCCGATCTATTCACTTTGTGGTAAACGTGAGAAATTATGAAACGGCATTATCGCAAAAGCCTAAATTTATTAAAAATTACTTCATATCTATTTATATGTCACTATCTAATGTCAGACAATTAAGTGACCCATATTTTTCATTTGATTTTTTCTTTAAAAAGTATTTTATTGACTCAATACTCTCGTAAAATTTCAGGTTACGAATTTTTCTCTTCGTGTGCTATTTTTATTGTTTTTATTAAATATATTACCATTGATTTCTTTTCCCGTATTTTTCACCTCAATTTTATTAAATTGATTATCCCATTGATTATGAAAGTCATTAATCTTGAAAATTCAATGAAATTTCGTTTTACCTGGAGAGGGGTAATTGATAGCTCTAAGGCACCTTGAATTTCATGATTTTTATTGATAATAGAATTTATCTACTTCAATAAAATTCGCATTCAAATGGCGAATCAATCATTCTTATCAAAATGAAGATAATAATATAATGTTCCAACAGGCATCAATGTCACTTTCGGCACTTGTTCCCTACTCGAGTGAGAGGGGAATATAGCCATGAAAGGAATAGAATAAAATTAATGATATCTTTCGGAATTTTTGATCGAAGTCGAGTGAAAAATGGAGGATTACAACACCATATAGTTGTTTCTTTCAATCACAGGTCATCTGAAAGGAAAGATTGACCTGCAAAATGTCCAGTTACACCCCGGAGTGATTCAATACCGTTTAGAACGACGTGAGTAACCTGATAATCCAGTTGTTGCAGATCAATTTAACGAGCTTGAGAAAGTATTTTTTTTTGTTCCTTCGAGTTTTTTCAGAGTGCAAGAGTGACAGCAAGAATATTACACCAGCTGAACTGGTAGTATGATGCATTTATTCAACTCTGCAAGACATTCACCGTGACAGTTTGTTATTTTGAAGTGGTGATAGAGAGTAAGAGGGTTTTCTGAGACGATTGGAGTCCATGGATGAAAAGGGGGTAAAGGAGCTTGTGCAATTATTTTCTGCCACCTGCACTCATTTCGTCACAATACTTCGATTGCGCTCTCAAAACCCAACCAATAATGAGTGTTTTTTTTATGAATTCACCAGTTCACTTGATTATCCATAAAGTGAATAATTTTAAGTGAATAATGGGAAGAGAATATTTTTGCAACCGACACTAATTCACATTAGAATTGCAAATATACAAAAATTGTCGTTGAGTCAATTATTCTCTAGAACTCCATGTGCTATACGTCGAATTCCGCAGATATTCTAGCCCACGTAAAAACTCAGGGCATCAATTAAATTCATTCAATTACTTGTTTATTCGATGGTTGCATAATGAATACCTTTGTTTCTTGGAGTCTTACGAACATTTTGAAGGAATAAAAATGCCAAGCGGATGAACACTGAGACAGCAGAAAGACCTTAGATGTAAAAATCTCTAAATTACGTTGATGCCTGGTGTAAAAGGGACGATGCTCGTCATTTTTACAACTATAAACGTAATATTAAAAATCATAAATCACTCAATTGGACCCTAACTCTCGTGACCCTAACTCTCGAATTTCATGATCATTTCACGATCTCTCGAGAATATCTTCAGTTATTGCTCATGAGTAATTCCTCTAATTTATGGACTCTGGAAATTCATTGAGTTGTTCCATAAAATTCACAGCCAGTAAGAGAGTAAACACTAATAAACGATAAACTACTAATCGCCAATTTCATTCGAGTCTTTCACCAAGCGACACATAATAAACGGATAATTTAAGATGCGATATGTCACTAGACGCAATTGCATAATCGTAGGTGAGTCGACGATGCATCCCACACTTGGCATTTGTAAAGCGAGCAACGAGACTGAGAAAATTAGATAGATTGATGAGTACTAGAGCCAAATGTACGCAATTTATAATACACACATAATACGCCATTTAACTCGGAATGGCCGACAGGAATTTCTTTCTCTCTCGGTGTTTCTACTTTCGTCGCAGCAACGACTCCAGAATAGAAATAACTCACGAAATTCTCAGAACATTTTTCGGTTTTAGGGTTTCGCATTTTCGTTTTTACACGACATTGAAATTCTGTTCTACCGCACCAACGAACAATCAAACTCAATTGAACAATTATGAATTATTTTTGGGATTTATTTAGAACATCGAAGGGCAGACGAATTGTATTTTTAGGAAATATTGAGCTAAGTTGAATATTTTAGGAAGTAACTACAACACATCATCCTCCAGACTTCTGAAACTAGTTCTATCATTGGTTGTGATATTCGTGGATTTTCCATGCCTTCCGAATCCATCGACAAATCGCTGGGCTCCTTTGATCCCACCGTCGAGAAGCAAATCAGTCGCATTGTCTCGCTCGAATTCCAGAGCCTCTTCTATTGGTTTTCCACCGAAGGTTGCATAGCTCATGGACGTTCGATCTGCCAGCAGAGCCCCTTGAGGATATTTCAGAATTGATTGGGCAATAGATATGCTCTGGCCCAGGGCTAAAATTATCAGATTAGTAAAAAACTTATGAAAAAATGTGAGAAAAAAGACTGCGGCTGAATAATTGCTGTAGGAAAAATTATTGATAATTTTTTTGTTATTATTCGTCTGCAGACCTATCAAATGAATCAGTCAAAACCTGAGCCAGAGGCAACTAGACGAGCTCCCAATCCCCAGTTGAAGGCCTCTTCTCCGCTGATTTCTCTTCCAGTCAATATGAGATCCATTGCTCTAGAGTATCCTACCATCGCTGGCAATCTCACTGTTCCACCACACATCACTGGAATTCCAAATCTCCTGTTTAAAAAACCCATTCGTGATTTCTGCTCGAGAATCCTCAAATCACACATGAGAGCCAGTTCAAATCCTGCTCCAATTGCATATCCAGTTACAGCTGCAATCAAAGGCTTTTTCGAGAGCTGCATTCGTGTGCACTGAAATGACAACAAATAATGAGAGGTAAATTACTATATAAAAATGCCAAATGGTGATAATGATTGAGGGGAATAATAATGTTAACTGTTAGTTACCAATGCTCCAAAGTGGGGCAACCTGTCAGAATCTCCTTCTGATTTTGCTATTTCCCCTAGGTCGAATCCTGAGCAGAAATTACCACCAATCCCATGAACAATTCCGATTTTCATTTCTTCATTCTCATCGAATTCGTCGAGAGCTTCAGCCAACTCTTGAGCTGTTGCACTGTCCAGAGCATTTTTTCTCTGAGGACGACTCAGACCAAATAGTCGTATAGGCCCAGTTTGGGAGACAACAATATTTTTGACAACTGGAAATAAGCAAAACAATAACAAAAAATTCCTTTTTTATGAATCCAAACTGAACTGAATCACATGAAATATACTCTATGAGTCGGTGAATATTCTCCTCTTTCATTAATAGGAAGCTAATAATGAGTAATTGATTAAATAATGAATAATTCAATATTATTGCAATAATTCACCGGTGTCTGATTCTTCATTTGGCTCTGGGGTGACAGCAGTCTTTGAGGTTATGCCTCTCTTGAGGTAACTCTGGGCAGTTTTTCGAAGTGATAACAATAATCGATTAGTTGGAAACATTTTTCAATCGATTAATCCTTTAGGATTAAATAAATGCTAATTACAGAAAAGATTTAACAGTTTCAGGCATTTTTTCAATGTTTTCTATTCCCACAGTAGAAAGTTTCTCGATACATAGAAATATCGATACATGAATTAATCGACAGAATAAGTATCGATATGTGCCAGGCCTCCACTGACATACAAGTGAAATTCAAAAATTGAAATAAACAATAATGAATAATTTAAATAAAGACTAATGATAATGGAAAACGAAAAATTCATTAGAATTTCATGAATTTAATTCATCTGTGAACATTTCTCAAGGTTATGAGCTGTGCACTATTTTTGAAGAAGAACGATTATTAACGAACAATTATAAAATTATCTAAGGAACGAAGTTTCTTCTTCTCTGTAGATTTCTGCAGCTGGAAATTAAGCGAAGAAGGCTACTCATCTTGAGAATATCTCTTTAAATTGCGTCCTAAAGTGTTCAAAATTAATTATTATTAAGCAATAGATCGGGTCTCGAGAGAAACATTTTCGAAATGTTCTTCGAAGAATTCTCTAGTGGAATGTTTAAGCACAAACTCACCCTTGATTTCCTCTTCATTCCCTTTCTCACTCCAAAAATTCTTTCGATGAGCGAATGTGAGTCATTTTTCTTCTTCATTCTTCGCTGCTTATTTTTCTTCTTCGTATCAATGACCCTCAGCCTCTCCATAAGAACATCCCTTGAAAATGTATCTTCTGGATTTTTCAACAATTCCTCATCAAACTGCAGATACCTCGTGGGGATTTCTAGCTGGGCTACATCACCCACCTCTTCACCAAAGCCAGTTCTGTCCTCGTCGAAATTTCCGAGACAATAGACAGCAACATCACAAACTGTTTGGATCCTAGCGGCCATTCCCTCATCATCAGGTTTTTTTGCATCCCTGCACATTCGCAGTCTCTTAAACAATTGTCTGAAGAAGCTGATCATTTTCTCCCTCTGCTCCCCCGTCTTCTCAAGCCAGTACTCCAGGACAAATTCTAGGCCCCTTATTGTGCCCATTAGGTGTTTATCACTGCCAGTCCTTTCCTTCCTCCAGTTGGCCAGTATTACGACAGCATAAATAATCCCAGACTCTGGCCTGATACTGTCAACCACCGGGGCATTCATGGCTCCGATGACCTTACAGCACTTCTCCAAATTCTCCTCCCTCTTCTTAAAGTGCCTGATCATTGCTGTCCTTAGGCCCTCCTTCAATGTCTCATCCCCCTCGATCCCGGCGAGGGCATAAAATCCCACGAAATCAATGGGTAGACACTCCCTGGGACACTTTCGAGTTAATCCTCTCCCCAATTTCTCCTGAAACCGCTTCCTTACTTCATAAACATCATCGATCATGAGCCCGGAGAGGCGAAAAAAGTGTTCGGTTTTCAGTTTGTCCCCGGTCCTCTCGAACTTGGCGAGCTTGAGGAGACAAGCACCGGCCTGAAGCCTCAGCCAAGACTTCTCATCGGCTTTGAAACCCCCCAATCGCCTAGCGTTCCCCTCACTCGCTACAAAACGCATCAGCACTCGAATAATTTCGAGTATCCAGGACTCGTGAACTTGTCGCGATATCACCCACCTGGTGAGACACTTCATCGCTTCTAATCGACAGATCGTCTCCAGAGGCAACTCCTCCTTCTCCGACCAATTCTTCGTCTCAGCAGCTTGATGAGACTCGTCAGAAGCGTGAGACTCGTCAGGGCCTAGGACTTGTACGTAAACGCTTTTCATTGCTGAATAAATCTGCTCATTGGAATCCTCGTAGAACCACGAAATGTACCCCAAACTGGCGATCAAAGTCGTACACTCGCGGGAACCTCTACCATCTAAACTGTCTTCCAACTTTTCCACGACATCCTGGAAGATAAACGCAGGCTGTTCCCCTGAAAGCCCAGAGATCAGTCTTACAGAGGCCTTCGCCTCCGCGACAGTCCCCGAGGTCAAAAAGCTTTTGCAGGTGTCAACGAGAGCTGTCCAAGTCGATGAGATTCTATTGAGCTGCTTGATTTTTCCCACGTTCGTCAGGATGTTGAGGACTCTCACGGTGATGGAGGGAGTCTTGTCTCTCAGAAGAGACGTCGCAAGAGTATTAAATATCGTAGGGTTCGCGAAATGTGCAGAGAAAGCAAGAGAGAGGATCTCGAGAAGTTTGAATCCGTTCTCTACCGCTGTTTCGAGGTTCAGACCGATTTTAAGGGCAGCTTCGTCATCATGGAGAACATCGTGGAGGCAGGTGATCAAGGCTTCGATTGCTGTTTCGTCGATTAGTACTGAGCTCGAGCGCTCCAGGAGGATTTTCACAGTTTTGTAATACGGATCCGTCTCGTTTAGATCTCCGATATTACGTAAGATTCGGTTTATAGCCTCCTCCGACTGCAAGCAGGTGACATTTGGCATCAAAACTTGCTCCATATCTTCCGCCAATGAAGGATTATCGTTGAGGTCCTCGAAGAACTTTAAGAGATTCGTTTCAACTTCGATCGTATCCGCGAAATACTTCGAGAGTGATTTTAAATGGTTTCGAGCAACCGTTAGCTCAAGATCCCCTCGCAACTCTTCCCTCGACTCAAAAACCCTCGTCAAGCATTTTCTGATGGTCCATCTGTGAATTTGTAGTTCTGCAAATGCTCGGCGAGCGGTTTTGTCGATCTGATCGAAAAAGTGATAGAGCAATGCCACTCTTACCTCGACTTGTTCCTGGAATTTGCTGAACCAAGTCGTGAAGATTCTTTCCACGTACATTCGATCCTTCTCGTCCTTGACAAAGTACCCACGCAGAACTTCATTCATTATCGAGATCATGGCAGAGTTCGATAGATCGGAGTCTCGAGAATTGTCTGTAACCCTCGAGGACAAAAAACCTATCGACAGCTCCTTCAGAGTGTGTTTACGAACCTCGTAATCCTTGTCGAGACTTCTCGCTTTAATAATGCTCAGGAGTTCTTGATCCTCCAGAAGACTAAAGTCTTCATTGACAGCGGACATTATCGTCGAGATGATCTGCTTTCTGATCAGCAGCGAGTAGTCTCGCTGCACTAGAGTAAGGATTTCAATAATTTCTGAGCGCATTGAGTCACTCAGGAGGAAGGGCTTCGCTTCCTTAATGCAAATAATTCTAATCCCCTCAGGTTGTGCCAGGAACGCCGATACAAAGAGTTTCCAAAAGCTCCTAAACCCCGAGAAATTCGAGTCCTTGTCTTGAAGCACACTCGAGAGAATGATGACTGCCCTCAATTTCATGGCGTCGTCTTCGGAGTTTAAGAGTGCTTCAAGTTGTGGGAGGATGTGCTCGAGGATTTTTGGAAAAAACCGCGAGATTGCAGAGGTTATAGAGCTGACTTGTCGCAGTAGATCGTCGGTACCGAAGCTGATGAGGATCTGCACAAAATCCTGGGAGAGAAGTGGCGCCAGGAGCGCTTTGGAAGTCGATAATATCTTTCTTGAAAGATTGTGAGAGCTCTTGTAGGAGTCTTGAGTGATCAGCAGGTGGAGGAAGAGAACGGGAAGAATGGGCTTAACGATCTCTTGTGAGGAGTTTATGAGGTTTGTGATGAGTTTGTTGATCAAACGATGGACGTCTCCGGCGGGGTTAGCATTGATTATGTCGAAGAGGAGGATGACGAAGGACCGCAGGCTTTTGGGAGTCGCTGGGAGCTCAGAGAAATCTGAACAGAGGGCAAATGCATTCGCCCGAGTTAGGTTTGCGAGGATGTACTCGGAGGACGAATACCACGGGGAGGATGGGTCCTTCAGGGGCGCCAGGTGGCTCGCTAGGAAGTTTAGGACCCGGAGGAGGACGTCGGGTTTGTGGGGGAATGGGGACGTCGGTGCAAATCCCCGGAGGATGTCTGAGAGACAGAGGGCCACGGAGAGTTGAATAAATTTGTTCGGATGAGTAAGGAATGGGTCGGATTTTGACAGGTGCTCTGCCAGGGGTTTATACTCCTCGTATCTGATGGGGTCTGCAGATTTCCAGATTTTTAGATTATTGGAGAGCACCTGAAATGCCAAGCGCCGCAAATTGAGCTATTTTTTATGACAGTATTCCAAGTTTTGGGATTTTCATGAAATTTCTCATGTTTGAGTTTATTAAAAAATAAAGCGACTCACACTCAATCTCTTCTCCAACTCAGTTTCCTCTAGATCCTTTGTTAGCAGTTTCGTTCCAGGTGGAAATTGTACTCGCAGCATTGTTGGATTTATTTAATTTGCAATTCATTAGATGAATTGTTCAACCAGTCATTGAGGCTCATCGAAATATCGAATGGACTCCAAAGCCGGTTGGGCATGTACACTCGAACCCAAAGAAACCGGCGTCAAGTTTTTTTTTAAATAACGAGACGATAATCAAAATGAATGGGAATTGCTTTGGAATTAAATGCAGAATCACAGTTTAAATTTCCTGTAACTCACGATTGAAAGAATTACGAAACATTCATTATTTTTCGATCTCTTTACAGATGAGACAAAATTATTTTCTGTTGATTATTATTTTAATACCGATTTTAGCCAATCCGCGTGCAGTAGTCGTGATCACGTGATGTGGTATCTTATAACTCAATATTCATTATGTATCACATATAATTAACAATAAGTTACCATGCAATCGTCCACTGAAAACAAAAGGCAAGTTCTCCAACACCGATTCTGAATATATCGGAGATATTTTGCAATCCATTTCTTGCAGCTTTACATAATTTATGAAAAAGGTTATGGCTAAAATTTCATCAACTTCTTTAGATTTCAAGATTTGCTGGTAAAATAGAGTGATAAATCTACACGTTGAAAAGAACTCATTTCATCATTGAGTTCTGTGGGTGGGGAAAATTTTGGGTAATTATAATTAAATAAATTTGAGGCACTGTTATACTTGTTTATTTGAATGACAAGCAACAGGAGATAAAATAAACCTTAATAAATGTGCAGTGTCATTGAGATGGCCCAACAAATGTGGCACCAATCTGATGTCTTGGTGGACCTCTGACATCTCTGTAGAAAGAATTGCGATGATTATGAACCGTTTGCAGTTCTTCAAATTTATTCGAAGGTGATCACCCCGTGGAATTATCAGTGGATGGCGACGAGCCCAGACTCCAGCAGTTTTTGGAGTTTCTCGGCAATCGCTGGATTCTTCAGGTGACTGGAATGACAAAATTAAAATTATAATTATCATATGAAAACAGAAAAATTACTCACGACAATTGGAGCCTATGAAATTCAATTTATCTCTTATCTTTTAAGGATGTTTCACATCGATATATAGCCAAAATTTACGTTTTTTACAAATTACGTTTTTTTTTGCAAATTATCGAAGAGTTGATGTAAAAAAATATAAAGTTTTTGCGTTTTGTCATTATTTAAGGGCTCACGAAGTTTAGTTGTGGTACGATCATTTTCATCCATGTTCTCTACAGTTTTGTGATTTTTTCTCAATGTTTAGGAAAAACGCAACAAAATGTTCGCGCCACCTCGAAACTCCATGAGTCATGAAATAATGACGAAACACAAAAACGTTGTTTTTGCACGTCAATTCCATAATGAGTTTGGCAGAAAAATGAGAAAAAACCTTAATTTTGACTATATATATGAGTGTACAAAATTGCCAAGCAGAATTGATAAAATACGTACTCTTGGAGGGCCTTGGGATCATTCTGCATCTGCTCTAGGATGAGTCTCATAGCTGGATCCCTGAGAATGCTCTGAACCTCAGGATCAGCCATAGCCCTCTTTCTGACCTCCTCTGGATTGGAATCATAATAAACCGAGCAGCTGCGATATCCCTCAGAGGCCTCCGCATTATTAGGATCAAGCCCCAGAGCAGTCTGATAAGCCTTGAGAGCCTTGGTGTGTTGCTGCATGCCCTGAAGAATCTTTCCCTTTCTTACCCACCCTTTAACAAACTCGGGATCCAACTCGACACACTTCTCGCAATCCTTCAGCCCCAAATCAAAGGCACCAAGTTTCGTGTAACAGGCAGCTCTGTTGCTGTAGTACTTGGCATCATCTGGATTTCTAGCAATTGCCTCAGAGTAGTGCTTGACAGCGCCAGCATAATCCCCGTCCTTAAACTTCTGATTTCCCTTTTCCTTCTCCTCCTCAGCCTTGGTGGGGTCAATAAACGCTCGCCTCTCCTCCTCCTTAATCTTCTGCTCAATATCAGACAGTAGTGTTTTTATGTCCGGAGTCCGGTGCTCCGACATGGACTTCTCATAGAAGACCTTGGCCTGTTTAAGATTCCCCATTCGTTTGTGAGCATTTCCAATTCGGGTGAAGGCCTTGGCAATGAGTTTGAAATCAGCTCGATTCTCACGTCCAACTTCAATGGCCTTTTCACACTGCTCGATACACTTCAAATATTCTTTTTGCTCGAAATACACAGCAGCAATATTCAGTAAATACGTTATTTCCGTTGGATCGAGCTCAATAGCTTTGTTGTAATGAACCAGTGCATTATCGAAATCCTTCTTCTTATAACTCTCATTGCCTTTCTGTTTTTCAACTAGTGCCTCACGTTTCTCTGGTGTCAAATCGTTCTGTGGTTTTTTCGGGGGCTTTTCCTGGGGTTTTTCCTCCTGAGGCTGACGTGGGGGATCGACCTCCATTGACTCATCCAGTCCAGCAGCGTCTGTGTCCATTACATTGAAATTTGAAAGTACGTAGAGTGTTTCCAGGACTCTGGGATCCTGCATGTGTGTACGCAGGCTACGTTGGTCTGTCTGGAGCTCTTTGAGGATTCGCATGTACTCTGGATCATCGAGATAATCTTTCGTTCGAGGGTCATTTCGTAGTTTTTCGTAAAGGCCTATAGAGTTGAAGGGATTAGAACGACTCATGGAGGCCTCTTGAGATTTTACCTCGCTCAGACTTTCTTTTATCTGAGCGTTGGCCGGGTCCAGCTGGAGACCTGTTTCGTATGCCTTTATTGACTCGTCTAGGCGTCCAAGATATGCAAGGGCACTGCCCTTACGAGAGTATCCCTTTGCCCAATCCGTTTTTAGGGATATCGTCCGCTCTGCATCCTCCAGGGCTTTGACGTACTGACCGGATTTTGCATACGCTGCTGAACGATTACTGTACAGCACGTGATTATCTTTGTCCAGGTTTATTGCTTCAGTGTAATATTTTATCGCGTCATCGTACTTGTTCTCGTGGAGCGCTGCGTTCCCTTTGTCCTTCAATGTGGTCACCTGAATGATATTGATGATAGGAAATCATTATTTTTTGTTAATAATTCTAGGAATTATGTTCTTTATTTATACGTTAGTCTTATTCATGAAAATCATGAAAATTATTTTTTGTAGCTGATTAAATTTACAACAGAAAATGTCTTTTAACGTTTTGTTATAAAGTCAATGACATTATAAATCAATCGATAATCTCAAAATTGAAAAATTCGAATTTCTTTACTAATGAATTGTAAAAATCGCATAAGTTAATGAATATTCCTTTAACAAGTGAAAATACCGCTAAAAATTCAATGAGAAATTTATTTCAAGAAATTAGGAGTGCAATTGTTTAATAACTTCTAGAATAATGCGGCTTTTCATAGGTTATGAAATGTTGCTAAAAATTCGACCATCAAAGTGCAGTGGAAAAAATTCACCTGTGACATTACGCTGCGTATTTTCTGATGCAATGATGATTATCAGCGTGGACGAAAAATTAGAGATATCACTTTTTTCTGGTTTCTCTGAGATCTCGTGGCTTCTACTGTTGTGATGTGCACCCCGTGTTCCCAACTTTTTTAATAACTTCTATTGTCTGTTTATTGAATGATTCCCTGATCGAAGGGAAGGGAAAAAAATCGTGACAAGTGAAACTCTGGGTAGCTGTTGGCCAACTGATTTTTCACTATTTTACACCGGTGTCTTTAGCAGTCTTGAGGTATGTCTAGAATGATATAGAATGCTCCAGAAACTTGGAGCACGTTCATGAATTGCTAAGCGTTTTTTGGCAGTCGTGATCGTGATATAATAATCATAGTAACACAGTAAGCAAGATGGCCACATGTCTTCGCCAAAATTCCCTGCAATTTAAAACAAATTTCCAATATTCTCATCCATATTTTCTAGAATAAACAATTCAAGCCAACACCCTTTAATCAACATCAGACAATTTTTCAAGTAAAATTAGTGGAAAACTTTGATTAAAAAAATCTTTATAATTATTTATTTAAAAAGTGAATGAAGGCAGGAATATTACCAGACGATAATAGTCACTAGAAATTGATATTTGCTTCTTCAAAAGTGAGAGGACAAATAAAAAAGAAGAGACATTTTTCAGACTTTCGTTGTTTACGTCGCGGTGAATGGTTTGAGGTAGAATGTGGGGTTAGAATTGTCTTTCTGACAATTCTATGTTTGATTATTTGATTAGTTGAGGAACAGCAGTTCTAAGGAGAGACTTTAGAAACTGAAGATTATTATTTTGAGGAGACGATGGCGACTATGGACGAATGGAACAGCATTGGGTCGTCAAAGAGGAATGTTATGAGCCCCAAAATTGTTAATCGAGCACCTGGAATCGGTGAAGGGGTTGATGAGTACTTGGAACCTCTGTTGAACAAAGTTTTGATGACCAAATCCTTCGGTGAGGTTTCATCTTTCCAGCCCCCAAAGTTCTTTTTGTTTCAGTAGTATATTTAAATTTCCGTATCAATTTCATATCAACGGATTGATAGTAATGTGACAACGAGTGGTTTTCATTCCAGGGATTAATTTAGGAGCCATTGAACTGTGTCAAGTAGCTGCAAGCTGTCCTGAGGGTAAAGGAGACAGATTCAGGATTTCCATACCCTATGCCAATCACAAACTCGAGTGGATTGTCATGTTCAATTCTATTTGTCCTGACGAGGGACCTGATTTCGAGTTCTCTGACAGATCATTTCTAGCCGATCCCGCCCTGCACACTCTCGAGAAATTCGTCCCCAGTCTGTATAACTGGAACCATTTGGAGCCTGATGCCTTGCTTGCTGTTATCACTGAGCTCGTTGCTCACTACAAAAAACATCAGGTTTGATCTCAATACTGAATAAATTCTTCGAATCCAATGAATTTTAATTCAATTCCATCCAACAGATTGACCAACTGAATCAATTCAGTGACCGTCTGAACGTAGAATACAAAACCATGATCTCAGGAACTGATATCAACGAAGACGACGTCGAGCTCATTCTCCTACCAGACAGTGTTCAGCCAGAGGAGGCCCACTTCCTCATTCGCTTGGCAATCGACTTTTCGAAGCTTCCAGGAAAACATCCATTCCTGAACAACGATGCAGCAATGCTCCTGGTGACATTCCAGGGTGCCCACTGGAATCGCATTACACCAAACTTATATTTTTCGAAAAACGTTAAAGAAACCTTCAGCAATTCAACTAGTCTTCACCTTCCAAGCTTCCCCTCAGAGAAGACTCTCGTGGACTACGTCCCCGAGGTAAACTCTTAATTTTTTTTAGATTGTGCTTTATAACATTAACCAGAAAAGTTTTTTGTTTGTTTTATTTGCCGTTTAAAAATGATTATTTAGGTAAAGAAATTGATAAACTCCAAGATCGACACTATCGCTACGAACTTCGAGAAAAAGAGGACCTTCATAGCAGCAGTATTGATTCTGCAGGGCCCAAGTGTTCTAGAGTATGATTGTGTTGAATTTAATTACATCAGTCTTATGCTGGTCCATCGGGATTTCTACTTCATCCTGCATTTTAACCTGCCCCCCACATTCCCCTGGACCCCCCCAAGGATCAGTCTCCAGTCGATTTATCACATGACATCTAAAACAGAGCTCTTCAAACAGGGGATTGCGAATAATTGTCCCTACAGCCCTCGTTGGCAGCCTGATTACATGTTCACCCAGGCCCTTCGGCATGTTATCACTGTGGAGATCAATAAGTTCAAAAATGCCTCCACGAAAAACCGTCGCTGATTGTTTTTTTAAAATTACTTTCGTCGTTCAGTTACTAATTTTTATGTGATTAATATTAAGTATGATAAAGAAGATGAATATAGGAGACATAATAAATATAATTTTGAAGTAATTCCAGAAGCTTTTTTTTTGATTTCCCAACACCTTCTATTTTTCCATTTAACTCATCTTCAAATCAATCCAATTGTGAGTTAAAATTAAAATTGTTGAAAATTTTTATATAAAAAAAATATCCTGACCGTAAGAGTAAAAGAAATGGTAAGAGAAATGCAAAGAGTACAGATCGGTGTAACAACAGGAATTAATTGGTTTGTTTCATTTTTAATATGTAAGGTACAATAATTATAATTTATAAATTTACATGTACAATGCTTATAATTTAGATTTATGATTTTCTTTCCATCTTTAATATTAAAATAAACTTAGACTGCATAACACTATTATTCGAATAATCAGTGGCCTACGTTCGTCCCCTGAATTATCTCGAAACTTCGAGTTTTCCGCGTTTAATAATTTCTGAACGACTCGGAAAATGTAAAAGAACATCATCTTTTTCAACAATAATTGATTCATAGTTATCGGGGCAAGATGCTCAAGATCAATGATTATGCGTGCAACTGCTGATGAGTAGATAAACTCTTGTCTCTTCCATCGAATGATTTCGTGAACAATAATCGAACATTCGATAATAGTGGACCCGCAATTTACGTACAAATGATTTTCGATTTTTTTTTGCTTTGCGTTCAATCCTATGTCACATCTTTAAGTAACAACTAAAATCTTAAAATTTTAAAAATACAGTGAAATAATTCAGAGTAACTGAAATCGGTTGAATACATCTTGGAAGAAAAAAAAATCATGGGAACAGATTTATAAATCGTACAGCAATAAATTATGTGGATGAATAAATATATATCAAAATATATGGTGGTCGTCGTGAAACAACTGTCTCAGTGGCTTTTTTCATTTCCTTTTATTTTTCTAATTACGTTTTCACTCAGCCCTGGACAACTCGAAGCAGTGGAGGGCGGTGATAATTTTCATTACTTTAGCGATCAGGACGAGGATAAGTCGAGCATAATACTAGATTCCTCCAGTGCTGGCAATGGCAGCGCATTCCTCTCCTCCTCGATTCTGGCATCTGACAGTTTTAGGAACTTGATGACCTTGTCTGTTGCCTGGATACCACAGCTGCTGGCCTCACTCTGTCGTGCAAATGAGAAATAAATATTAATTAAAATATACATTGAAAATTCATTTTTATTATTATACTTGTACCACGAGCAACAGTAGAACTAATAGAAATAGAAGAAAGTATGAGGGAGAAAAAACTAAATTCCACACTTGCGCCAGAGGTTTAATCTACGACTTTTGCGGGAGGAAAGTGGTTTCTCTTTATAAAATCGCACTTTTCCTTCAACCAAGCAACCATCGATTATACATGAACCAATTTCACCAACAAAACGGAAAAATTTCAATAACTTACCGATACTGTCAAATTCATGAAATTGTAAAACTTCTGAAGAACAGCCACCATCGTAGCGAAATTATTCCCGGGGATCTTCCCTCGCACCCAAGTCTCATACTCCTGCAAAACGATGCAAAAATAATAATCAATAACTTCATCCAAATCATCTCCTCAAGATGTAAAACAAATTCATTCCATTGATGTACCTTGTTGTCCATAATTAAATATCCCAGCAGTAGAACCACGTAGGCACCAATGAGTGTGTGTTCCATGTGTCTTCCAGCCTTTTGCAGCACTGGAAATTCCAAAAACCCACGAAATTAAAATCCACTTTAAACCGATAATTGCTCAAAACTAAATATAAGTACTCGTCATTACATTTTTGTACAGTCTTTTCAATGAACTCATCTTGCGTCTCCTTAGTGCTGTTAACAGTCTCGGTCTGCTCAGAGTCCTTTTTCCCATCAAGAATGGCATCAGTTTTCTGCTCCTCACTGATAGCAAGTTCCTCCTGCTTATAGAAGAGATCGATGAGTGCTTCAACCCCACTCTCAGTTCGATCGAATAAATCGTCAGACGAAGGTGGTGCTTTGGATTCCATGAGCATCTTCTTATTATCCTCACACTGTTCAACTAAATTAATAAGTAGAATAAGTGTCAGCATCATCATGTCAAATCGTTTCTCCTCAGGCAGAGACTCTGGCACACGCAACAAAAGATTCAAACTGCAGTCAACAACTCCACTTTGGGCACCAAGTGATTTACTGCCAAAGGACTGCCTATTGAACCGATGAGTCAAATTAATAAGCACATTGAGGATAGCAATGATGCACTCCCTGATAACAGCTCCAGTGCTTGTTTTGTCACTGATATCAACAATTGGATAGATGGAGATCTCTTGTCCACAGAGATAATACAAATTCGAAAGAGTGCTGACGAGCACTCCATCGTCATACTTGAGCAGATAATTCTGATTCTCTTCGTTCTTCTGTGTTACATTCTCGAGAACCCTGAGACACCTGTCAACTTTCCTCAACTTGTCAAGAACAGGTTCATTCCAGCCAGACCTAGTAACATCGGAAGCCACAATACTTCGATGGCACTCCTTGATGGTCTTGACGATGTGCTCGAGACCCCCGAGCTCCCTGAGCTCCTCCTTGAACCACTCGCCAGCTCTTTTAGATGTCAGACTGAGAAGTGTCTCCATTGCCAACTGCCCAACCGTAATATTATCAAGATTGAGATGCTTGGCGTGCCCTTGTGCCTGAATATCAGCACAAAGTTGCCTAACCTTCTCCTTATTCTTGAGGAGCTCAGCCCTGCTGAGGCCACAGTCGTCAAGTGCATCTTTGTGGCTGGCATCAGACTCCAAAAGACTCAGCATCAGCTCCAAGCAGTCCCTGTCAAGATCCATCGCCAGCCTGTCCTGACTGAGGACAAACATCACAGTAGCTGTGCAGAGTCCCAGGCTCTGGTCCTTTGTGGCATCGTGAAGAGCCTTGAAAAATTTTGCCACCGTTCCATGGGCCCTGACATGCATTCTGAAGGCAGGTGCCATGCATTTGCTTGCCAGTCTTATGGCTGACAAGCACCTAGTGGCATTCGGATTATTCTCTCTCAACGTATCCAGAATATACTCAACATCATCATTAAACTCTTGAAACTCTCCACTCTCCTGAATCTGATGTGCCTTCTTAACATTTTTAACAACAGTATAAAAACCTTTAACTCTCTTTCCACACCGAATGCTGGTGATTGCTTCGGCGTCATCATTGAAATCCATGTCGTCAGTCTCTGGATAGGTTACGACTCTCGTCAACTTGTCAGTGTCATCTAGTTCACCGTCGAAGGTTTGACCAGAGGCACCAGAGCCCGATGCAGCATTGGGTGCTGCTGTTACAGCGGCAGCCTCTGGAATAATTGACTCCTTGTCGTTGTCACACCACTTGTGCTTGTACAGTGCCCTCCTTTTATTACCATTGGTGGCACCTGTTGATCTGCTCTTGAAGATGCTTCCCCTGGTAACGGGTTTTACTGGTGCAGGTGTCTGATCACCTGGACTGGGTGCTGGTACCTCAGTGTTGCCACTGGCAGCTTCAGAGTCCTCAGAGCCTGAAAACCAGTCCTGATCGAGCAGTGTTTTAGCTGCTGACTTGTCGTCAGGGGGTTGTGGCTCTTCTGGGGCTGGCTGAGGCACTGGGTCTCGATAGGTTTCAGGTTCCATATAATCTTCATGCCTCTGGGGTTCAGGATCGTCTGGTCTGTCAGGCCTGTCGTTGTCACTCGATAAAATATCAATCAGCTCTTGTGTCGTCGTTGGCAGTGGCTGGTCCCGACCAATCAGGGGCTCAACTATTGGCTTGTAACTCGTGCAGTCAGTCTTAACGATGTCATAGTGAGAGATCGAGGTGTTGTTTGAGTCAGTTATCGATTTTCTCAGGGTCAGGGAGAGACCTGAACTCTGGGTGGTTGGAGTTGTAGGTGGGGGTGACGTGATAATTGGAGCTGGGGTGATATCCAGGTTGAGATTTTTGGCTCGACTGCGAGTTGTTCTGCGGGTTGAGAGCTCTGGGCTGTCAAGGGGAATTGATACTGTTGTTACTGTGGGCTGTTGAGATCTTGTGGGACGATCTGATTTTATTTCTGGACTGAAGCTTTTGCGATCTGGCTCGCTCTTCGTCGGACTCACTGGTGTGCTCACACGATAGGTTTCAGGTTCCTCTGATGGCTCCTGACTGTCACCTGACAAGAGGCGAGCTGTTCCCTTGCAGATCCTCAGGACTATCGGTGGTTTTCCATCGTCACGAGTTGATGTGTCACTCGAACTACCGTCGAGGCTCTCACTCGTCTTTCTCAGGGGCTTTGCGGGCTTTGGGGGTGGATGTTTCGATTTTTTCGGATATTTTTCGGGATCAGGTACTTGGCGGTAGGTGGGTAGTTCTGTGCGAACCTCTTGTGGAATTGGAGCTGGGGTATTTCGGGACTTGAAGAACTTTTTTGGCTTTGGGGCTGAGGGACTCGGTGTTGAGGACTTTGGGTCCAGGTCGGGGGAAAAGGAAAAGGGATCGTTGGGAGGGACTTGAGTGTTTTGGTTCGAGTAGTCGAGTTTTGGTTTCTTCGCACCGAACGTTCGCTGGATGTCATCTCGTCGACCTGAGGGATTAGTTTTATTATTGAGAGTTTAGACGAGTCTCTAGAGAAAAGTGTTTTTAGTGGCCTATTGAATTCCCGTGATTTTTTTAAAAGCAATTGAGAGTTCATGTACTCTTTTAAAAATAACTGATGAGCTAACCAAATTTTGTAATATCTCAACCTATTGTTCGCTCGTCATTGCGAAATTTTTTTCATGCTGAGTATAAGGAAAAAAAGACTTGATAAAAGTTTTGTATTTTGTTACTCCAAGATAATTAATTAATTCAATTGTGGGAGATCTTGAAGTTAGAAGTTATTCGATATAGAAAAAGGAAAGAATAATTATTGATGACTCAACAGTGGTCAGATTGATGTTTCCCAGGAAATGGAACGTTTTGTTCTGGAATGTGCCAGGTGTTTCGAAGGTCAGTATCACTTCCTCTTCCCCCCCATTAAACATCGAGAAAGTAATGAAAAACAAAATTACCATTGATGTTGGTACTTCGAATGGACGTGAAGGACGTGATCCCCCATTTCCCAACAGTCCCCGCTGATTTAGCAGCCGATGGACGATTGCTATTTTCACGAAATAGCTTGTCAAATTGTATACTACCTGGTGTAACACTATTCACCTTACGACTGTACGATTTCGTGTAACTGCGTGACGTCATTTTTCCCTCGATATCTCATAAATTTTCTGCATTCCAATAGTCACATTTGTTGTAATACCCCTTCATAATTCAATTGCCCTCGACGTTCTCTCACTCTATCCTCGTGTAATTAACTTCTTCCAATTAATAATGTGATATCGTGAATGGGCGATGCGCCAACGGTTTGTTTGATGATTATTTTTTTACCCTAGGTCTGAGATTCTCTGTGATTTATAACGCCCACAACATTAAACACTCTAATAACCAAAATCCTCGGGCTTTTTTACTATCCGGGGATGTGGCACACGCGTCATCGATGCGAATAGTGGTAAAAAAATCAATTAACGAATAGAATTTTCGGAACATATGAAAGAAACAAACGCCATGTTTCATTCGTCCCCTCTACAATTCTCTCTCTATCTCTCTTCCTTCGATGCACACTCAACTTTTTTTTTCTCCCCGACTACGATTTTTATCAATTATTTTCAAACTTCTCTATTTATAGATCAAGCGAAATTATCGGGTACTTGATTTAGGTGGTTGTTTAGATATTTTTTTCGGTATTTATAGCACTTTTTTTATTAACTACCGTTATTGCGATGGGGCTACATGAGTTTAATTGGAAATATCAATCATAACATGATCTTTGCCATCTGTCGATGTTTTTCGTTTTCGAGAGACTCTGAATATGGAGAGAATTTTAAGATGGTGGACGTGAAAGTTTGTGTGAATTTTTCGATTGCAGCGCACCAGGTGTCGGCGGGCTGCTGGGGGAATCACGGCTGATTAAGTGTTGGTAAAAAAGGGATTTTTACTGGTGGTCGTTGGTGACGATGGAATGTTTGTGAGATTACTTCAGTGACAGATGCAGTAACTTGAGATGAATCGATACTTCAAAATAATCTTGGAATTGATCTATGTCGAATTATTATTTCTCGATAAGTCGATACTTAAAGATGAATATGTAATCGATATATATGTATATCGATTATTGTCGATTTAACCAGAAAGCATCAAGAAACTGTTCAACTTCATGCAATAAAATATAGTGTCTATCAGTATTCGAGAAATAATATTATAAAAAAAGGATTTTGGATATGTAACAAAATTATATATTTCATGTAACTCATTTTTCCATTATCCAACTAGATTTTACAGATTAATGTCACTCGTATGCTGTACATTACCCAACATGCAATCCTAAAATTAATTAAAATTCGTTAGAGCAACTCGGAAAAATCCTGACTATTAATAAAATAATTTACTCAATGCAAATGCCTGGATTAACAGGGTAATTACTAAAATTGCCCCGTTAATTGCTAATCGTATTTCAAAAACGATTATTCATCGCCTGAAACAATTATTCATTGAAAAGATAATCATTCTTGTCACATTGAGTTCCAATTATAAATGAAATATCCAATTCCTCTTCAAAAATACCAAATATCGTTTAATATTAATAGACGTAATTTACTATTGCTACAAAGTTTTTAAAATAGTGATTTTTTATTTATTTAGAAACTTGTGTGGAAATATGGAGAACATTTTTTTTCGCAGAATAAATGAAATAGAAAAAAACCTTGGCCCTGCGTAATATTGTTAACATTGATCCCCTCATGGGCTTCAGTCGATGAATAACCACCTTACGAATAGGACACATTGACGAGGATTCCCCGTCTATTTCCATCAACAACGTACCTGAAAATAGCCGCATCAGATGAAATGAGAAAAAAAAGAGGGAAAAAACTCCCATTATCGAAGTGAACCGAGGCATTACGTGCATCGCAATGACTAACCAATGAATCTCAGCCCGTAAACAAGGAATTAATCATCATGCGGATGATCGAATGCACAGAAAAAAACACAGGTGATTATTCGACTATTTGAAGTGAATTACACTGGGAGGGCTTAAAATTTTCCTCCACTTTTGACCTCAACAGCAAGAATCAGAATTCAGACATTTTTCTCTACCCGCATAAGTCCTTCGTAGACCTCAGAATGCTCATTCATTCATTCATGAAATTCCCACGAGTTTGAGAATTTAGCAAATTTTTTTTTTCACCTGACAGTGAGAAATGCCACAATCAAAAATTGTTTCGAAGCCTTTGCGATGCAACACAGTGACTTTGTGAACCTATTCAGCCCTGTACTGACCTCTACGTCACTCTCACCCATAAATGGAGATCGAGGACGCGGAAGATTGTCACCTGAATCCCCCGAGTATAGATGTTGGAAGCCATCGCAATCGAGCTCCAGATGACTTCTTCATCACTTCAATAACGTCTCTAGGTGCATCTCCCACTACTCATCTTTTTCTATCGCTTCATTATCATTGATTTCACATAAAAAAGCTCCAACACTTCTAAAATCTACCCAGAATTACGTGAAAAACGTTTAATTGCAATTAAAATTATTTAATTTTCACACGTCGTATGGAAAATTAATACTCTACACTTTACACCCGAGAAATCGTGCGAAAAAGCAAACTTTTCATGGTACTATTGGAATTGTTAGAACCAAATCAAACTAAAAATTGAAGACATTCAAAACGTTGAGGTAAAGAACTTTTAAATTATTGAGAGGTTTTCACAATTGTTTTCTGTGTGAGAGACTCATATCAATGGCGAAAATTATAGTACTGATTTGTCTCCTGGCCCTGCCTGATTTTCTTCGTCATCATGTGCAGGACACAGGGTTCATCGTTCCAGAAATTCGCAGATGTATTTTTGATTATTTTAATAACCAGTTATTTATTAGTAATGATTAGAAATTTAAACTTCAACTCTAGACTTCTTTAAATTGTGCACTCGAATCTAATCTCTAAGTGTAGCAATTAGGGGCTAACAAGTAAAAATCGTCAGTGCCCTAGGCCCTTTATTACCAATAGACTCTTTGTTCTTTATCTGTTATTTATTAAAGTTGCCGCGAAAGAAACACTTTAATGTCGACAAATCAATTTAAACAACTTTTGAGGTTTGATATTCGAAATGTGTCAAGGTATTATAAGACCGATTTTTCTTAATAATTTCTTTTTACGAATGTGACAGTATTTCTAAAGATAATTAAAGATTTCAGGTCTAACCGAAATAAACAAAAATTGCAGCAACAATTATTGGAAGTATTTTTCACTCAATCGTGGACAAGCGACCGGTTGTCACAGGTCTCAGCAAATATCGAGTGACTCATTCAGGATGGTCGACCATTTTAGCCAAAATTGACATTGTTTTAAATTTTCCTGGCAAATTATCAATGGGACTGCCGTTAAAAAATATAACCTTGCAACATTTTGTCTTTATTTGATGGCGCACGAAATTTCGTGAGTGGCGGTGTGGATATTTTCATGTGATCTACAGTCTTGTGATACTTTTTAAATGTTTAGAAAAAAAACGCAGAAAAATGTTGGCACCATCTTGAAACTTCGTGAGTTATTAAGGAATGATTAAATGTAAAACGTTATATTTTTTGACGTGAGTAATCGTAAATTTAACAGAAAAATGAAGAGAATGTGAATTTTCGTGGAAAGGGTGTAGAATATCCTTAGCTTGTTTATGGCCTATAAAACCCAACGTGAAGCTACTCAAAAGACAAAGATCTGCCTCGTCTTCCTCAGACCTCACACTCTGGACGAATGGGTTGTCAGGGGAGACAGTTGGACGGAATATCAACCCAGCTTAAATTATATGGGATTCTATTTAAAGTTATATATTTTAAAAATTGAATAAATGATGGAGTGGAATATTAAAGATAGTAGAAGAGATAACTTGCGCTGCACCATGTGCCGAAACAAAAGAGACTAGAGCGGGAGAATTGAAGGGGTCCATCGGTATACTAACGGAGAGGATATGCTACTATTAAAAATAGCAACTAGGCTCTAGGGGGTATTATTGACCCAGGCGGGTTAGAACAAGGGTTACGGTGTTTCCGGTCGGGCGGTTAGAGGCCGCAGAGAGGCCACAAACAACACTTTCACGTACAAGCCTTTAACACGAGGACGCAACAAACAAAGTGCCCTCCAATCCCTCCGAAAATCATCAACGTTGACTTCGGGAGTGCCTCTTCTCGGCCTTAAAATCGAATCCATCACGGTTGAAACTCCACGGGCTTCTATCGGTATTTATATAGGTGAAACCGCCCCCTCTCCATTGGAATTCGAGCGATAAGACCGTACGTGATGCTTTCCGTGCACAACACAGTGTTTGTTGTCGCGCCAATGATCATCGGGGTTAGTTGGTTCGAGCAATGGGGAATACATGAGATATTTTGTTCTCGTGTTTTGAAAACGCATTACGCCGAGGCTATTACTGCCTGGGGAGGATTTTGCATAATAACTCGCTTTCAACAGAGAATTCTAGGTGTTGAGGGGGACCCAGGGGATGTTCGCCTTATTATTACTTCCGTCTGCCCTCTATTGAAAAATTTCACTTATCAAAATTTTTCTTTAGCATTTTTCAAATGGAGCTTTGGTGTTGAAAAGTACTTGAAGAAGTTTCCGTTAAAAAAAGAATTAATCTCTTAAATATTCAAAGATCTGTTAAATTTCCCGTTACAATTCTTGAACAATACTCCATTAATTGAATTCACGTCCCAATGCAGCATCACCACCGCCACCAACGATAATTAAACCTACTGCCTCCCCCTCGGTTTCCTCCATAATCAATCTCATCGTTTCCTCCTCTCAGGCCTCGGATTTTCCGGGGTCATCTCGGTGCCCCGTCCTGGGACCCCCGAGACCTCTTTTCCACGATTCCACCGTTTCTCACAAAAACCCTCGTATCCCACTTTCCCATGTATATTTTTTTAAAACCTTCTTTTCTCTCTTTTCACCACCTATTTCCCCTCCCCCGGTCCACCCGCCCCCACCGATAAAGGGCGAACGGTGGGGAGGAGGGCTGCGCGGTATGAGTTGTGCGCGCGTGTACAATCGGCTAGATGTCGATATTGGAGTGCGCGGCGCAGGCTGAGCAGAAGCGGAATTTGCGGGAGGAAAATGTCTAAAATTATCGGGTGCGGTAGAGAGTTGTGCGAGGGCGAGCCACACGACCCCGGAGTTGAGGAACGGTGACAGCTAATCCAGCGTACGGAGTACGATCACCGTGACGACCGTGAGCTAAACTCTGCCAGGAGGAAAAACAGGGTGGGGAGGACTGGTGGACCAGGGTAGGGGCGAGAGAAGGACAGTCGGGAGGGCTAGGGCGGGAAGGGAAAGAGGGGCCGAGAGGGGGAGGGCCAGGGGTAGGCCTAAGGGAAGGACGGGGAGAGAAGAGGGTCGACAAGAAGATGGGGATGGCGAGGAGGATGAGGATAGTGAGGAGGGCGAGGAGGGCGAGGAGGGCGAGGAGGGTGAGGAGGGTGAGAACGGAGTAGAGAGGGGAAAAGAGGAGAAGTGTATTGAGGGAAGAGGGGGAAGCCGGGGCCGCAGAGGCCGCGCGGTTTACCGACTAGGTGCTACCGTGTGCGCGTCTTCCCTGGTGTACGTCACCGTTTTCTCTCGCGTGCTGAGTCGTATGTGTATGGCCGCGCGCGTATTCAGTTGAGGCCAGCAGGGCGCCCGTGTCGGCCGCAAGAGTGGTCACCGCGCGGATAAACGTTAATACAGTGTTTTTTTTTTATTTTGACAAATTTGGCATTTTGTTGGGGATTTTTTTAGGACGACAGGATGACGGAGGAGGACAACACGTGCGAGGACTCGTTGGGGTCGGATGCCACCACAGCATTTGCCAAGAGGCTCAGGGGCCGCAAGGGGGCTTTGAAGAAGAAGAATGTTTACATGATCAAGGATCACAGTTTTATGCCGAGATTCTTCAAACAGCCGACCTTCTGCAGCCACTGCAAGGATTTCATATGGTGAGTTTTTTTAATCGGAATGATTTTTTGGGGGCAGATGGGGTGTTTGGGGAAGTTTTGGGTGAAGAGGATGAAAATTATGAAAATTTCGGATTTGGGCGGGTTCGTCAGTGGATGTGGGAGAAAAAATGGTTGTGAATGATATGGAACTATTGGAATGTGATGGGATTTTCAATTTTTTCTAGTTTTTGTGGGAAATTTCCGCGCCTAGAAAAAAACAGTTGATGTTCTCATTTACCATCAATAGTTCTCGAGATAAATCCACATAAAATAAAAAATGACTTCTGCTTATCTCTTTTTACGACATTGTTACTGAATTAATTTTTATTTCAGAATATTTGAATTTTAAGTTTCGTCTTTTGAGTATACTGTGACAAACGTCCAGTTAAAAGATTCATCATGAATTTGCAATACATTTCTTCCCTATTTGTCGGAGAGACGACACGATAGCACGAGAAATCATGACTGATTGTTTCCAACGATTGAGTTAAATTCAGTGGCGTTGAAAATCATAACATCACGTTTCCAGATTAATGATACTCTCAACGATTTGACATTGTCCGTACAGTAGTTTTCAAGGAATAATAGCAAAACGCAATACATTTATAAAAAGCAGTGCACGCACAGGAGTGGTATGTTATTTTGAGTATGCGTGAAGAACCGATTGAAATGGTCTTGGTATCGAATAAATTCTGATGAATGGAGAAAAATAAACACAACTGGTCGCTCAATTTCTGTCGATTGTCACGTCAGTGATTACGTCGCGTCTCTCGCATTTGGTATCACATTTGAATAACGTTTTTTTCTTATTTTTGCTCGTCCATTCTCGTGTACGCGATCACTGAATGACGTTTCATCGTTAAACGTTACGGCCTTGACAGACTAGTGAGGCACTTCAAATTGGCCTCTGGCTGTGTCCAATTCTGGGTTTTCATTCTTTCTCGGGCTGTTGCAAGTATTGAATGGTGTGAGGTACGTGTTGCGTGATTCCATTTGATGGTTCAAGTGTTGGTGATTAATGGGGTGATTGGGGTTTTGTCTCGGGTGATTGGAGTTTTTCTTGGCCGAGAAGGAGTGCCTCAGGAAGCTGAGGTATTTCCAGAGTATAAGGGGAAATTGGGGCCTCAGGTGCTGGTATCTCGCTTGTCTATTTTATTTATCGGAGATGGCGTGCAACATGACTTCCGATTAAATCGCCGCAACCCTTTAGCGCCGATCATAATTTCATGATGGTTTTTCTCCATTTTTTATCCGGATTTATTCGGCGGAAATAATTACTGGAGGATATTATCTTGTTAATATTGATTTATTTATCGATTATTATTTTAACTTGCTGCTTATGGTTATATTTCGTGGACTCTTAATATCTGATGATTATGGTTTTTCGCAATAAATTCCATTAAATATTTCCCATTAAAAAAATCACAAACACAAACCCATTATTGATATTGATATTCAATTTTTCAAAAATTGAGAATTGATAAATAAAACAGGAATGGGGTTCATCATTGGAGATGTGAGAATTCTGACGGATTGAAAAATTTCAATGAAAATTACGTAAAAGTCCGTAATTCAGAAACGCTAATAAAGGCGCGATAAAAATTACAAAACGCTCCGTAAAAAAGACATAACTGCTCTGTATTTTTTTACGGGGCGCTCCGCATTTTTTACTGGATGTTTCGTAATTTTTATCGAACTTTTATTGTCACTTGCAAATTATGTAATTGTTATTGAATATTTTTTCTGGGTTCTCCGGTATGATATTCCCGAGTTTCTGGAGTCACTTGACAATCCCCTGCACTTGACGCAAATACGTTATGTATGGGGGAGAGAAAAGTACGAAGGGGGAAGTAGAGGCAATCAGGCAGCAATGGCACGTGGATTTTCCCCTTGACCCTCTCATGTCTCTCCCAGAGACCATAAATCAACCACCAATGCTCCTCGCGTTCTGGCCCACCACTAGTGTAAGGCTCATCCACTGGAAGTGAAATGACGAATCGTCATTTACGATCAATGCTATTGATATCACTGAATTATACGTCAGACTCACGCTTACTAATTCCACAAAAATCATTTCTCCTTTCGACATTCAGTGGAAATGTTTTTTTTTCGGAGAGAATCACGATCAAAATGAGCTATACCATTAATCAGAAATATCTTTCAATCTAAATGAGACAACAAAATTTTTGTAATATACTTTTTCGCAGCTCTAAATCCCTCCTCTAAAAAAGATTCCAGCCAAAATTCCAGCCATTTTAACATATCTGATTATTTATTGTTTTAGTATTTTTTTCTTAGCACGTACAATGATAATAAATAATAACAGTTCGTCATAATTGTCGAATCGTCACCACTGAGTAATACAATCCCGATATCTTGGCCATTGGCTATTCCGCATTCAAAAATCCTGTTATCGCTTCACATATTGCTCATAGAACTCAATCCCGATAACGCTTGTTTTCCACACGAAGAGAAATATTCCATTAAAAATACGGAACTTACGTCCGCTACCGATTACGGAAGTGATTAAGAAAATTGACATGATGATATGGCAATTTTTTCCAGAAAAAGTTTCGTATAACGTAGTTTTATAAAATTTCCCTTAATCAACAGAATTACGGCAAAGATCCGTAATTTTGATTGAATATTTCCCTCTATGCAATTGCGATAGAATATAAGCGACGGAACATCAGAAGATCAGGATCAAACGAGTATTTAACGTAATAATTTCTTTACAACCTTCTGCCATGAAGTTTTGACATGAGCCAACAGATTCGATCCGAAGACATTCTCCTCCCAATATTTACTAAGGATGTAAAAGGTCCATGTCTCGATGTCAGGAACCTCTCTCCTTATTAAAATAATGGCTCCAACGATGCAGAAAGGAGCATGAATCCTCTATAAAGCACTGATTTTAGCATAATTACTTGGCAACATCTCCGTAAAAACAAGCTCCCAGGGAAAATCCTTCTACCGTGATTATTTTTCTCACAGTCAGGTCATCGTAGATTTTTACCACTTGAGTGCCCTTGAGACGACACCCACCGACTACCGTGCAACAATGATAATTACCCCTGAAACTTGGACCGACAAACTCCAAATTCTCCAAAAACTTTCTACCGATAGATTAAATCCATTCCAACTTGTAACATCGCTTAACCACAAGTGCATAAATACACTTGAATACATAAGAGACAACAGCTCTTTAAAGGATAATAAACCCGTGCCATCTGCTTCAACAAAGCTTTCGTTTTTTCATGCTAATCTCGTGTCATCAGGAATAGCAATAAATGACTTGCTGTCACTGACTCCTTACGTGATCGCAGAGAACATGAAAATCTCATTCCACAAAACATCATTAGGATCAATTCATTCCACGAGGAAATTGGTCTTTTGGATTCCTTTGATTCCAAATGGCTGCATTGATCCGGTGTCAATGACCGCAAATCTTTGAATGAAAGAAATTATTTTTGCCACGAAAGGTTTTTCAGTACAATATGTTCACCTCAATAAAATTCTGGAGTAATGGATCCTTCTGGTTTCTTGACGATGCCATCCCACGGAATTCAACTCCCGAAACACTCGCTCTATTCGAGAGAAAAACCAATCATCCTCCCACAGAGACTTCCTGAAACACCGCGTAACAATGGATCCTAAAAAGCAGGAAAAATAAACAGATCTTTGTCACGCCATCGGCCAAACTGATAAAAACTCACAGAGCCACATGACATTGATCATTTTCACTTGAACATCTTTCTGAAGAATGAAATACATGGGAAGAAAATTCATCACTTCAATACCAATTCTACGGAAGGAGATCTATTCCATCTCTCAATATCGCATGATCATAACTCAATTCTCAAGATGGGATGGAGAATTTTCTTCTTGGTTGAGAACTACACCAATGCGATCAATTTCGTGCTTGAGATTATTATTTGGACCAATTTTTAAGGCCTTATTGACGTTATCATTCTACAGTAAATTGCCTTTTCTTTAAACCCACGATCAAATTTATTTGTTAGGTAAATGTGTGAAAAGATGGGCAATGGCAATCTTTAAATCATCTTGTGCGGATCAAATCCTACGGCCGAAAACTGTTCAAGAGCTGGTTTGACCCTCTCACTTCAAACATTACAATTTCATCTACATAACATGTCTCAATCAATCAAATCATTTACGCCGCTAATTGAGAACATTAAAACATGTTATTCAAACCAAATTGTGTAGGTGAAAACGATTGTCTCACACACTTGCCTTAAACCACCAATTATCCCCACGTCATATTCTTGAAATTAAGGATGTTTAACCGCTCAAGTGCGCAACCGTGTCAGCAAATAAAATTAAAAAATTCAAATAAATCATTTACGATATAAATAATTTCGTCTATTAATTTACAAGCTTCGTGGCATACTTTTTGGTTCAAATCATGAAGAACTATGGAAAATGTCTATAAACATTGACGTATGACTGACTACTGTGGTAACGTTCGAGTTTTGATCGTTCAACACCGCATTTAACAAGGTGCTCCGCCATCACTGTTTCATCGTCATCTACCTTGCCGACATTGCTCAGCGGTAAGATAATGTCAATATTTTATAATTGTAATGGCGGCCAATTTTTTCAGGTCTTTTCAAAAATCAATCACAAATTTGTCGCGTATTGTATCGGGTACCTTAATTTCCGTCGTCGGTAAAATATCCCCCATATTGTCAAATAAATGAGTGGATTTTTTTATTTATGATGTTGAGTGGATATTCTAGTGTCTTTTTTCAATCAAAATTAACGCGCTCACGTTTTCTCATAATACTCTGTGTTACAAACAGGTGTTTTCACTAATTATTGTCTCGGTCCAATGGATGGATCGGGAGTTCGAAAATGTGACCTACGTATATTTCATAATCTTCGCTGATATGAAAAAAATGTAGACTGTCTTGAATATTGACGGTACCGGTTTAACATCCTTAACCAATTTATCTTATTATTTACCGACACTTGTGACT